GTTTCACCAGGTTTTAGCAGCTCATAATAGATTACACCCTTCTGATCCCATCAAACACAGAGCATTGTCTTCTTTCCAAAGCGATTGCAGTGGATGTCGATGGTTCGCCTGGATTCACCCATGATTTCTGACGCTTAGGATTCTCAAAATATATCCATTTTTCATCACCTGTCACGATACAATGGAGAAATGACGTTCTTTTGTATCTGTCGAGCAGCATTTCACAAGTGGTTTTTCGATTTTCTTGCTGTCTTTCATTCAGTTCATACGGAACCCATTTTCCCACTTTCTGAATCTTTCCCATGGCTTTCAAACGAATTGAGACAGCTTTCTGCGTCACATTCAATTCATCCGCGAGTTCTTCTTGAGTTTGAGTATCATCTTCATCCAATAAGGCATGCAATTCGTTGTCTGCGAACTTTTTCGGTAGTTTCCCACACTCTTCGTTTCTCACGTCAAAATCACCACTTTTGAATGTTTTGAACCACTCGAAACACTGTGTTTTACTAAGAGCATGTTCACCGTAAGCTTCGACAAGCATTCGATGCGCAGCAGTTTTCTTCAAATGATAACAAAAAACCAATGCTGTCCGCAAATCGTCGTTCGAAGGCACAAAACTCGACATGTTTAAGGTTATAGAAAAATATACCGATGTATGGAACTTGGGTTATTGCGTGTTGAAAATCTTCGTCAGCTGTTAGAGGGAAATGATGGCGCGAAGGCAGAAGCGGTCTTACGATCCCTAAACTGATGGCTTGCACCATCTATAGGGAAATTCCGGTTTCATACTTCTACATCTGGTATATCTACCTTATATAACGCTAATGCCGGCGATGTTACTAGTTTCAAGCATTATAACTCGAAAAGTACTTAATACAAAAATATTTTGTTATAATAATTTGCAAAGATCTCAAGATAGGCTATAATAATGAACAATAAAATCTGAGGGGTTCCATTTAAAGAAAACAAGTTGATCTTCAAATAACTTTCAAATTCGACCTCAAGGTCAAAGTCTAAGTCACTATTGAGTTCCGCCCTAAAAATCCTTAAATTTTTGTCTGAACAATTTTTTGTTAAAGTGCGCTGTTCTCAAAATATTTCAGGGTATTCAAACTTTCACCTCACCCTGTATATACAGTGGCGGACATATATTTAAATGCAGTTAAATTAAAAACGAAAATTAAATTTTATTCGTTATGTACTTATATATGAAATAGTTAAACAAAAATCCATTACGTTTTTTACAAGTTTATAGCATATATTATGAGATAGCAAAATAGTGTTTTTCAATTTACTATGACTAAGAAGTTCTTTTGTTTTTATTAAAATGTCATATTTTCTGCGGCCACGTACTTATGTATATGTATATACCAGGTATAAAAGTATGAAACCGGAATTTCCCTATAGATGGTGCTAGCCATCAGTTTAGGGACCGTAAGACCGTGCGACGATGCATTCTTCCGGCAAACAACGCGACCGACCGACCATCCGTCGGTCGCAGAAACGGCGCTACGCGCCAACAAATAAACACACGCTCGAAGCACGCAACCGACACGTGCACACGCCAACAATAACGTTTGTTATTGTTGTTAAGCACGTGTACTTACGCAAACTTTATTATACCATACAGGACCATACAGAAGACCTTCTACCTCCTTATAAAGTTCATTTTGTTGTAGTTGTTGTTCTTTGTGCAGCAAACCGATTTTCCTATTAGCGCTTTTACTTCGACGATTCTGAGAAGTGACTCTATTTTGATTAACTTTATCAGAAAAATTTCTGCAGGTCGTTCCAATTATAATGCCAACTTCTGACATGATTCCTAGCAATGACAAGTAACCTTCATTAAACATAGTTGCTGCTAAATAGGCCGCGATTTCGATAATCTTTCGTCCACAATGTAGATGCTTAGGGGCTAGTCGCCAAATGAGCGAGTTAAAGCTTNAAGCGAGTTAAAACTTTCATTCGCATTTTGAGTGAAGCCGCCTAAACATCTTTCAAGTAAATCTTTTCTCGATAAGTCTTTGTATGTAGGTAATATACTCTCAGCTACAACTGGATGTAAAGGCTCTGGGTGAGTGTATGGAACTCCTAGGCTTTCGGCGCATCGAAATTTACACCAAGAATCTTCAGCAGAAGGACAATTTTCATATCTTGGTTTCTTATCAGTCGATATACTATGCAAATATGTGGCCATTATATCTCTTTGCATATTTTCCACAGATTCTAGATTTCTCATTATTGCGAGGCCGTAGTATTTTGTAAGCTTTTTTATCAAGGTGTCAGTTAGCTTACCCTTGCCACCAAGTTTTTTTTCTTTTTTGACATTTTGACATTGATGTATATAATGCTTACAAGATTACCAACAGACTACAAGAGTTCCTAAAGGCATTTTAAAACTCTCGTGAGCACTGTGGCTCTGGGGCCTCTGGGAACGCTTACGCATGCGTACTTAGCGAGCTTGTTTCGACCCGCAAAATTTTGAATTTATTTTTGGGACTTTGGGAACATTTTCTAGAGATGAAAAACTATCGATTAAGCAAAAAAAAAATCAATTTTTTGAAGTTGCTACACCAGGCTACCCCCTTAATTAATTAGCACTATTTACATTTTCATTGAAGAAATAAATTCCGTTTAGGTTGCCAATTAGGATGCTACATAATAAAATTCCAACAATATTGATGATTGACTTCTTGATACCAGTGTGAATTTTGTACGGACCAATGATGAAAATTATGCCAATTTAATTGTTCAGTGTTGTGAAACGTGGTCTCATCACTAAACAATACATACCTAAAGAATGTTCTATCACGTCGCGACAATGTGTCTATCTACAAAACACTAGTTTTTGTTGAAAATCTTGAGGCATTAATCTCTGTGTTAAAGTAACATGGTACGAGTGGAAGTTATAAAATTTAAAAATCCTCTGATTTCGGGATACTTAATTCGCTTTCAATTTGCCGTGTTAATACATGAAGACTAATGGCGGCCATATCCAAAATGGCAAGCACTTGTAGATCATCTCTTTCTGGTACGTTGAAACGACGTCTTTCCTGTGCTTCACGTAGGTGTTGTCGTTGGCGACAATCTTGGCAATCGTACGATGATTTAGATGCTGTCTTTGAGGAAACTGATTGCGGTATAATTTTTCTGCTTGTCGATAATTATTACAACACTCTCCAAATGCCAGAATAATATCAACAATTTCGTTCGGAGTATAATCTGGTATATCGCTATATGTAGAAATTTAAATCTCTAAGATAAAATAAGGTTTGATTGGTTTTTTGTACTGGCAGATAACAATGATGAGTTAAGAGAGTATATCAATTATTATACTCTACAATTTCAGAAGTAAAATAGAGGCCTGAGTGTATTTATATAATTTTTGATCTGAAATTTATTCGTAAAAAAAGTGATTTTGCGAATGTCGAAAAGTTCCAAAAGTATGTAGGATCGACAAGAGGCTAAAGGTGCGTTAATTGGGACAAATATAGCGGATATTATCGTATGAGTAACATTGAGGAAAAGCTCGAAAAGTCGAGTGCATCGGTCAGTATCGGTTTTCAGCAAAATTAGATAAGAGTAGTGTGAGGCGTGTATATTTTGTTCGAGAGAATATTCGACGACTCGTAATAAGACGAACGTCGAATTTTTTCTCGATGTATGTGTCGTCGTATTGCTACAAAAGTCCTTGTTGGATGGAAACTGAACGATCGTGCAAAGCAATAGTTCCATTCATGCACTGAGTACATATACAGTATATGTACTGAATACAAGTTCAACTTGAAATGACTTCTAGAGTCAACTTGACCCCATGATATAAAGCATAACTGAACGTCAGACTGCTCTGATATGCTTTATTCAATTATGGAGTGAACATTGTTTTAACCTTGAAGTGACCCTTTGAGTCAATTTAACCCCACATGTTGTTACATGTTTTTAACGTAAAATTTCTTCCTCTATCGATTTCCGGTATAAGAAACAGACCATTCCATTTAAAAAACAAAAGTTAACCTTCAAATGACTTTGAAAAGGAACATCCGTGATAAAGAAGATTACCACCGTGACAAAGGTCATCATCGGATGTCTCCCTCTGAATCCTACAACTTTTGTTTAAAATGTTTTCTCTAAAACTTTTCTAAAAAGATATTTTAATAGAACTTTTAAAATAGGACACCCTGTATATATATATATATATATATATTGTCAATAATTATTGGCATTGATCGGAAATATCACAATGAAGCTTACTGCGTCTAATAATTGTTGGACGGAAGAACACAGAATGTAGAATTGTAGCACTCCACCCAACGTGAACATAATCATCGAGAATCCTTCGACAAGATTTGCTTTCGGGACCTGAAAATTTATAAAAATGTATTATTTACGCGTTCACGCAATATATCGGATAATTTTTGTTGAAAAATTAATAATTTATAACGGAACTTAGAATTCGCTAAATACGTAATTTAACGCATATGTATTTTAAGAAAAACATTTTTCTAAGACGATAAAATTACTCACTGTATTTAGCAAGATAGCACCAAAGCAGAATCGCAAGACGCTAATTACGTAAATCAGATTAAAGTTCATGGACAGTAACTTCTTCAATAGAAATGACAGGCTGAAACGAAGCGTACATAGGTAGGTAATAAATACATTCAATACACTAAAATATAGCTCGCATGCAATAGCGCGGCAAGCATGCAGTAATTCTACATGGATGAAACATCTCCGTTAGTATAATTGAATTTTCTGTTGCCTGAAGACCAATGAAAACTCTGTTGTAAGAAAAAAAATACCAAAAGGCTTGTATTCTGTCAATTTCTCTCAATTGTTTCAACCGAGTTTTAATTTAACTGAATGTTCTCAGTCGAATGTACTTAATCGCTAAAATAGAGACGTCCTTTTGTCACCGGGTTTTTGTTTAGTCCTTGTTCAATTGCGGGCATTGAGATTTGTCTCTTCATATTTCCGAAAAGTAAATAGCAAGTAAAAGTAAATCTCTTTCTCGAAAACTTTCGGTGGACATTTACCAACTACTTACTAAACCACGGCGTTGTGGTGCCGATACAACACCCTCAACTCCTTCTCCGCCCACGAATTCGTTGTGGAAAAATATTCCCCCGCGAAACCATCTCGTTCATCCCGTGCACCATTTTCGCGAAATATCATTGCGAGCTTTGTCGTGATATACCGATACTGCGCTGTCATCAGTAACACCAGGTGCACCATGTAAATATCCACGGCAGCCTTCTTTAGGAACATGTACAAGCTGCCGAACAATATGACGAGGCTGCCCAGCACGAAGACAGTAGTCGAGAAGGGCTCTTCGCAAAAGGCGACCGGCATCCGGTAATCCTCATAATAAAACGAGCTCTTCTTGAATACCAACGCGAACGGCGTGGTGCCCCACACGAACAAGGACGACAGACCGACTATCCAATACAGATTAAATAGGACCTTGATCGGCTTCGTAGTCGCCGTCACTACGTCCTTCATGACCTCGTTTTCAGCGCTGAGGATGTCATTCAGCTCGAGGACGTAACGTCGCACCAACTTGCCGCACAGCTGAATTTTCACATTCAGGAAAATCACCTCCGTGGTGAACACAATGGACGTCATGGCATCCACCAGAACCTTCTCCTTCGACACTGACATGATTCCAGGGATAAAACCACCCGCGCGAATCAACTCGAGTAGCCACACGAACACACCGTATATTCGCCAAAATATCGGAAACGCGCTGTCGGCGGTCATCGGCAACAAATTGCCGGAGATCTTATTCAGGCGAACGTTCAAGAGATTCACGCTCTGGAAGTTCATGCTGTCGACGTCGCCCATTTACTCTACTCGTCGCCCTACTCGTTCCGTTCTACGTTCTTCGCATCGCGCTTCGTTGTGATCGTGTCACCGTGCGAAGAGACATGCGCGACTTTACATAGAAATTTGAAGACAACACGCAAGTTGCGGTTGATCTTCGGGGTCATTCATTATTCCTTCTGAATACTAAGTTATACTTACTTTCTTAGTTCTATTAATATGATATACGCTAACAACAGCGATGTTCCCGCTGTTTACGCTCAAATCATTACGCTCTTGTCGTGTAATTTTATTTATTGCCGGGTTGAATGAGAGACAATTATTATCCACAATGTGACAGGTTTTCCCAAAAACGTCGATATACAAAAATTCGATGTACTGTGAAAAAAACTCATAAATAAATATCGCGATACCCTTGTTAAAGGGAGGATTTCCCTTTCGTATTTCCTTCGCTATATGCGTGCGACTACGAGTTTTCCAATAATTACGGCTGCTCAATGAATAATTATCTTATAGTGTTCTGGTGGCAGCCACGGTACTGCAAATGTTTGCAACGACTGCACGTGTAGAACGCAAAATGTGCAAAACGCAGGAACGATAAAAATAGCTAGTGAATTGAGCAGAGTCATGCGACATTTTTCGTGACTCAATGTCAAGACGATCAAAAACGGCACATATATTTACGGCAAAAAACAAGTAAGACAAATTCAGGTCCAGAAAAGGTTTTTTGATGTACTTGCGATATAAATTTGTTGCTCGATTTTTGACAGCATTGATCCTAAGTTCTATCATTTTTCGATGCAATATCTTAACGACACACAAATTATATCCACATCATTTACATTTATAAATGTTAATACTTGCTTAAGCTAGATTGCAATTTATTTTTAAACTTATTGTTATTTTCAATTTGCAAGACATTTATTTTTTTTTAAGGACTCTGTCCGAAAATGTTATGTTATTCACGTTGTTGCTATTCGTCTTGTTTATAAGAGCACGAGAGCGTACGATTGATTTAAGATCTGAAAGCTCGCCGAAAAATTGTCGAGATACAAATAACGTACAGATATATGTAAAATATACTATTACCGTATACATGAATTACATGAATAAAAGCAAAGACAGATTGAATTTATTCCACCCCGTAAGTTTGCTCCCTAAATTATCGCTCAATATCAACAACATAAATGTATATTTTATTGACGGCTCGAACTGATATCATTTCTCATGGCTCTGTCCATTATATCTCTAGTCTAAATCGAACATAAAAATATAACAAAATATATTTTAACAACAATTTTATCGTTTCATGAAATATTGGCAAATTCAATGGCAATTTTAAACTACAATAGCTGGTGATGAAGGTAATTATATTGAGTAAGAGGAATAACGTGAAAACATACTGTATCCTGCAGTTGCTTCACTCATTATAGCATAACATGTAGAATTGTACAATCGAACCGCATCTAAATATCGTGACCAAAAAACCTTTCAGGGAAGTAATTGATAGCACCTGTAGATACGTAAGCAAAAATTTATCTTTCACTGCTTATATATATGTTACAATTGTTACAAATAAATATTTATGTAACTCGTATGAATAAGAATAGAGATATTTACCATTGGTTGATAAATATAATATACACGTAAACATTTAAAATTGAAGAAGTTAATTAATGTTAATTGTGTTACTCACTGTGCTGAACAGAACACTGATAAAATAAAAACATAAGAAACTGCTCACGTAATTCATGCTAAAGGCCAAGCAATTCTTTCGGTACAAATGATAACAGAGAAAACAGAGCTGATATATAGACATCACATTTAGGATGGAACATATTTCGTCACATTAAATTTAACTCGTCAATTCATGGCGGAAATTTTAAATAAAAATGAATTTAATCTAATATTTAGCAAAGACGTGATCCAATAGAAATTAAATTTTTTTTTGTTTCAACTGAGAAAGAATGTAAATCGAAAAATTAAAAGAATACTTTGAGATTATGAATCACTTTTTTAAAGATAGGCTAATTCAGTTTTTGTATCAAATTTAGTCGATAAATTGAATTTTCCGAATTTTCCATTTTTTTAGATATAAAATATATAAGAAATAAAATTAAGTGATACTTACCATGTGATAGTAACGTACGAGGGTGGTCCCTAAAGTACCCGACCCAACAAAGAAAGCACAAAAATTTTGGAAAATAATGTATTTATTTTTCAACATAATCTCCTTTCAGCTCTATACACTTTTCCCAGCGATGTTCAATAAGTTCGATACCCTTTTTATAATAAGAAATGTCTTGCCCCTCAAAATAGCCATTAACTGCCGACATTACTTCTTCATCGTTGGAAAATCTTTGACCACTGAGCCATTTTTTCAAGTTTGGGAACAGAAAATAATCCGAGGGGGCGTTTGTTGCTGTAAAACTTCGCTAAACACTCAATTGAAACATCTTCACGACACTGTTTTTGCTCGAGTGTGAGCAAACGCGGCACCCATCTTGCACACAGCTTTCTCATGTGCAAATTTTTAGATAATATGCGATATACCGCACTTTTTGAAATGCCTACTATGTCTGCTAGCTCGCGCACTTTCAGTCGACGATCATCCAGTACCGCTTTGTGGATTTTCTTCACCATTTCTGGAGTCGTCACCTCATTTGGTCGACCACTGCGATGCTCGTCTTGGCAGCTCGTACGG